GACAGACATACCATACACGCACACATAACAGAATACACATTCACACTTACATCCACACCTGTATATATACATAAATGTGCATAACAAACCTATCACCACACACACACACACGTCTGTATCTCCATTGACACCCATCTCCACACGCTATCCTACGGAGGCGGTCACTTACGTTGGCTGGCAGATGGAACCCACCGAGCTCTGTGTTGACGTAGTCGTCGCTGTGCTGTTTGTAGACAAAGTTGACGCCCTTACCTACATACAGACACGCGGTGATACGCTCATCTATCACGTGCGAAGCAACTAACTTGGCTGTGACATCGTTCAACACGGCCACTACTTGGGTGTTAAGCCCTGTAAGGGGGGATGTATGTGGGAACGGGAACGTTAACGGACTGTTCTAAACGTATTGGGACTTGTGCGGATGTGTTTAGGGTTATGAGAAGTACACATCTTTTTTGTGACCTGCTGTAGCTTTAGCCTGGGGTTCGGGTTCATACACTTGTGTACAGCCTCCCTGTGATATACCTCTGCATTGGTATCCGTCGCGGCACTGAATCGATACCTTTTCAACATATGCTTCAGTAAGACCCACCTGCACCCGCACATACATACCCTTTTCCTTGAGATGCTTCAGTAAGACCTCAGCCAAATTCCTATTCTCAAACTTAGCGATGCTAAAGTAGTTCTTTGTGTTGCGCAGAAGCTCTCCATGACTCACATCCACCTGTGTAATAGGCAGCGCCACACACAGCCCAACGGCCAAGGCTTCGTGCGGATCCCGTCCCGTCGGCGTTGTAGCCGCCACACTCGCATAACTAGACCCATTTGTAGGCCCCGACAGCGGGGACGGAGGCACGTGGGTGTCAGGTGTCACGTGGGTGTCAGAAGTGGTTCTGCTGAGAGAGTTCTCGTACGAGAACTGTCGCAATGGACTGGGCGGACACGCGCCTGGGGGACTGGCGGGTGAGGATGCCCTGGGAATGCACAGGAGAGACAGCATGTGAGCTATACGAGCGCACTTATATATATATGTATATATATATATATATATGGATGTATAGATATAGTCCTACTTTCAAGTGAAAGCCGTGATAAAATACAAGAGTGGTCCATGGCTGATACGAACTGTGATTGGAATGAAAGGGATAGCAGAATGTGAGCCAGTATGGCGGAGTATGGTGGCTTACTTAGTCTGTCACACGCTTCCCTGAGATGTATGATAGATTACTATAAGTGTTGCGCCTGTCCATATACTTCCGACCCTATAGTGCTGACTCACAATATGGGTGATAGAACCACAAAACTCGTCCACTATTTCACACTATCTGGCGAAACGCACGCAGCAAAGCTACTGGAAAGGTTTCAGGGTTTCCGAGTTTCTGGGTTTTGAGTAGAGGCACAGGTACACACCGGGAAATCCCACACACACAACGATACCCCCCACACGGCAGTCGCTTACTTTTCATGGCGTGATACGATATTCGATCCACTGACACTCGCGCGCATCTTGGGCGACGATGGCGGTGACCGCGAAGCGAATGGCCGGGGTGTGAGATTCGAGCTGGACGGCTTCTGGGGACTCATGCCCTTGCTCTTGCTGTCCACAGACGACTGCGCCGAGTCGAACTCGTGGGTCGCTTTCTCCACACATGTGGCTACAAACGCCATGACATCGTCTAGTGTGATGGTGTTGCGCACAGTTTCTACCATGGGGTATGTGTAGACCTTGCTGGTGGTAGCCTCGTGTGTGCGTGTGCTGGTGAGGGTGTGTGCGTGCTTCTGGCCGGTGCCTTCCTGCTCGCCGTGGAAGCTCATGATGGCCACCTGCACCATATCAGCCTTCAGAGACACACCCAGACTATTGCCTATCGTAAGTGATGAAAGGCGGGGGTGTAGGTTACCGTTGGTAACGCGAGATAGAGAAAGTCAATAGTATGTATCACCAAGGGCTATGGGTTGACTAGGACGATGAAATTGCAGATACAGATAGGCAGTGCAGAATGGAATGGTGCACAGCCAATGGAGAGTATATTGTGATACAGATCGAGGTGTATTATAATGTAATATATAGATAGAATGGATTATCTTGTGATACAGATAGAGTGAATTATATTGTAATATAGATAGAATATATTATTATTGTAATATAAATAGAATATATTGTGTTGTGGTACAGATAGAGAGTATTATATTGTAATACAGATATAATATATTGTATTGTGATATAGATAGTGTATTATTTTTGTAATATAGATAGAGTGTATTATTTTGTAATATAGATATAATATATTGTATTGAGATATTGATAGAATATATTGTATTGTGATATAGATAGAATGGATTATATTGTGATACAGATAGAATGGATTATCTTGTGATACTAATAGAATGGGCCATATTGTGTATAGGTGCACATACGGTACATTTGGTAGTCATCGCTGGCGGATGCTTCGCATCCTTTCCTTATTTGCAACATACCTTCGTGTGCATATTTGAAGTTACTATCCACAAACGTGGGCAACATGGCCAGACTAGACTCTCCTGGTGCTGCTCCTAACTCCGCCACAATAGCGTTGGTCACCGTCACCAGCTGTTCGCGCGTTAGCACAAACTGTCGCACAAAGCGTTTCATAGCCTTGCTAAGCTTGTACTTGGAACTGCGTACATCGTGTTGCGTGCCCCATATCTGTCCCCAGAAGGTCGTGTCAATGGGGGTTCTGTGGGTGGGTGTGGGTGGGTGTGGGTGGGTGTGGATTGATTAGCCGTACAGAGACACGTAGGAATGTATTTGCACACAAGATTGTATATACTAGCAAGTTATGGACACAAGAGTGTATATACTAGCAAGGTATGAACACATAGGAGTGGATTCACTGGCTAATTGTAAACTTACACGTGCGGATTAACGAGCTAGTTATAGACACATACTACCCCTCTCCTAATTGATACACCCACTCGGCAAGTGTCACAACCATGTCATTTGAGTGTCACAGCCATGTCATTTGAGTGTCACAGCCATGTCATTTAAGTGTCGTACAGACAAAGACACGTGTTTGCCCACTTGAAACAACGCCTCCACTGCGTGCACGTCATGTGAGCAGACACTCAATGGGGCATATCAAACCATGCAAAGCAATCAATGGGCTCCAACGAGAACAGTGACTGTTTAGTACTGGTTGATAAGTTTGGGATTGGCTGTTACGATTAGGAATGGTTGTTACGATTAGGAATGGTTGTTGAGTTTAGGATTCTTTGTTAAGTTTAGGACTGGTTAAGTTTAGGACTGGTTGATAAGTTTAGGACTGATTGTTAGGTTTAGTATTAGTTGTTAATTTAAAGATTGGTTGTTAAGTTTAGGACTGGTTGTTTGGGATTGGTTGTTAAGTTTAGGATTGGTTGTTTGGGATTGGTTGTTCAGGATTGGTTGTTAAGCTTAGGATTGGTTGTTTGGGATTGGTTGCTAAGTTTAGGACTGGTTACTAAGTTCAGGATTCGTTGTTAAGTTTAGGATTGGCTGCAAAGAGAATGCATAGACCACATTTATGCGACAAGCACGTCCAAGTCTTACCAAAAACAGGTGTACTATCCTCAAAGTCAAAATAGCGAACCACTTTGAAGTACCCATACAGCCCCTGCAACGATAGAATTTTTTTTACCCCTTTATCAAATAGACAAACACAACAACTTACACTACGGTCGGGAAGACGAACTCGGTGATCACGAATTGCACGATCTTGAAGCCCAGCGCGCCAGCAGCCACACCTGTGTAGGTATGAAATGACTCATGAGAATACCAACGGACAAGCATATCACAGACTAAAAGCAGAAAGAAGTCCTTTAATCCCATTTCAATGAGTGAGAACTGGCATAACGGGACAAAAGCGTAAATATCGGGACATACCGATCAGAACAGAAAATGAAGGGGCAAGGTACGACTGGGGAATCACTAATAAATATACCATTAACATTCACATACAGAACAATACATATGCACAGGGACAGACCCAGACCCATACAGAGACAAATAGTCACATAAACACAGACACAAACACCGACACAGACATATATATACATACATATATACATATACACACACACACACACACTCACATATATATATATACATATACATACATACATACATACATACATAAATACACAAGCAAAAATATCTACGTATAGAGACATAAACGCACAC